CTTTTATCCATAGTATGCTGAGACTTATATGTTAACTACTTATATATATTATTAATAAACATCAACAAAAAAAAAAAAACTATTTCATTAGAAATTCATAACAATATTGGACAATAAAATTTATAATAAAAGACTTGATCAAATAAAATATTTAAAAATATAATTACAAGTTGCATAAAATAAAAAAAATAAAAATCTAATATTAATAATATATATATATATATATATATATATATATATATATATATATATATATATATATATATATATATATATATATATAAAATTATTCTTGATATATTGCTAGCTTGGCATCACGCAAAGAACTATTATTTGCAATAGTAATTTGAGACTGCAAACAACAACAAGGTGCTACTGTTTGCAACTCCAAATTGTTGTTGCGAATAGTAATTCGCAATACGTAGTAACCTGTTATTAAAAAAAAAAAGAAAAATATATATTACTAATATAAACATAAAATAATAATAATCAAAATATATAAGTATTTATATGAATATTATGAAACATATACTAAAATTTGACGATGAAAAATTTTCTTTGTTCATGTATTTAAGGAGAATTAGAGAAAGTTAGGGATAAAAAATTCATAGAAAATAAAAATAAAAATCAATATAAACAAGCAATAATGAAGTAAAAATAATATTATTTCAAATTTTTAGATGAAGATTCTAAAGTTTATGAGAGAGAGAAAAATTGGTAGAGTTTAAAAATATAGGATAATGAAGAAAAAAATAATTTATTGAATTTAGATAGGTTTATATAGTTTAAATAGGGAGAAAAAATAAAGTTTAAATAGAGAGAGAAAACATTCAAAGTTGTTAGAAAGAAAATTTGAAATCTTGGGGTTGATGGTTGGATTTCAACTATTTATATTTGAGAATGAAAAGTCTACAAAAGTCTTAAAATTAAAAAGTCTACTAAAGTTCATAACTTTTTGAATACCACATGACTTTTAAAAACTCTTTAAAAGTCTTAATCGAATACCACCCGACTTTTAAAGACTCTTTAAAAATCTTGATTGAATACCGTCTGACTTTTAAAGACTCTCTAAAAGTTTGAATTGAATACCTCCAAACTTTTAAAGTTCATAAAAGTCTTTAAAACTCTATGAAAGTCATGATTGAATACACCCCCCTTAGAATTTTAAATTTTAGCTTTAAAAAGTTTGGTTAATCGGTTAACCGACCGATTAATCGAAAAAAATTTCGGTTCGATGAATTCGGTAGAGCAAACTTCGATTCGGTTAACGGTTAAAGGAAAAAAAAATCAGTTCGGTTAAAACGATTCGGTTAACCGATTGAACACCCCTATTTACAACACTCTTCGTCGCATACAATCATAATACATCTATCACAGCCGGAGGTTTAGATAAAATTTCACTTGATTTTTAAGGTAATTTCAACTTTAAACTATACCATTAAATAATGTTAAGAAGAAAACATTTCCACTTCATTTGTAACAATTATATACATTAAAAATAATTAAGCAATTGGGGATATTAGCATTAGCATAAAATAAAATACATTAAAAAAATATACCTTAGTTACTAAACATTGCAACCTTCTTTAACAAATGGATATTGCAAATTTAAACCACTCTTACTCAATGATTCATTGAAGGGGAGGTTGGTAGGGACCTCAAACAGCGTGAACACCAATTATGTTTAATAGTTTTATTAAATTTACTCAACATAAACTAAGTTGTAAATTTACGATTTATGATGCTAAGCTTAACAAAAATATATTTTAACAAAATTAAGGTTTAATCTAAGGGATATGTACAAAAATTATTGTATTAAGCCCAAAGTCCGATCGAACGTAAATTATGCCCTGGAAACGTGTTTACCATGAATGGTGAATACGGGTCCAAACGGTGTCGTTTTTACAAGATAAAAAAAAATTAATTAATGTGGTGTTAACGGCGCACGTTTGTTCAGATTATAAATTTTCTGTTATGAGATTATGAATGTACTGTAAATTCATAATCTCATAACAGAAAATTCATAATCGCATAAAAGAAAAACATTTATTAAATTATGAATTTTCTGTAAATTCATAATCTCATAACAAAAAATTTATAATCTCATAACATAAAATTCATAATCTCATAAAAGAAAATTCATAATTTCATAACTGCACATTCATAATTTATGAATGTTGAAGAAGCTTGCGCGAAGAGGAAGTGAAACCGCGAAATGTGAAAATGAAGAAGAAAAGTCGCGCGGTTAATTAAAAAAAAAAAAAAAAAAAAAAAAAAAAAGAGATAACGGTGCACCGTTACCGTTGGGGCCGTGTTCACCATGAATGGTGAACACGGTTCCATGGCATAACGATTTCCGATCGAAACTATGTTATGAGGGTTTATAACTACCAATCGGGATTATGCTAGGAGGCTTGCAACTACCCACCAAGGTTATGCGAGGGTGGCCAATGGGGTTACAACTACAAACACGTAAGCATGTTTGCTTCTGTGACTTCCGAGTGAGGCTACTTAATTGATAAAGAACCAATGAAGGATGTCTTGGAGGAACTACTATTTATAGGTGAAAGCAATGATTGAGCCTACCAAAAATCTTAGAAAAATGTGACCCTATGTACTCACCATTTTGTTAAATAGGCCACACGAGGGCCAACGCCCAACCACGTGTCATGGCTTAGAGGGGTGTGTTAAAATATTACTAATATAATAGTTTCTACAAGTTAACACAATTTAATTATTTATATATAAAATTATCATACAATATAAAAATACCAACAAAAAAAAAAAAGTAATAATTAAGTTTTTTTTTTTTTTTTAATTTACCTTATGGAACATGCATGGGTCCGTATAATGTTCATACGCAATATTTAAAGGATGGATAAAACCTAGGGTTGCTAATGACTTCATTAGGGAATGATTCACCATTAGGTAATTGATATCGTAAATACACTCGGAGTATATATATACTGATTTAGCTCATAGGATAGGTTATAGGTATGAATTGCTTATTTGATTAAGTGGTGGAGCTCGGAAATTAGTGATAGTGGATTGGAGAATCCCTAGCTGATTACGATTAGGTAGAAGTGCCCTCAAAAGTCAATCGTTATACCCTGCACCACGGGGCACATAGCATTGTGCCCCACACCTCCCAAAACGATGTCGTTTTGTTAAGTTGTGTGGGGAGTCGACGCGACAGAGTATATGTGTATTATGTTATATAATTATGTACATTATGTTATACAATTATGTACATTCTGATATAAAATTATGTACATTATTTTACACAATTATTTACATTTTTTTTAATATAATTATGTACAACCGAACACGCGATTTTTTTAACAGTTAAAGGTTTATGTGTATTCTGTTATACAATTATGTACATTTTCAAAACATGCAATTTTTTAACAAGTTAACAGCGAACACGGAAAAACAAAATTTTCAAAAAAAAAAATGTAAAACAACGTCGTTTTGCATCATGACGCACAATGCAATGTGCGCCCTGGTGCGCGATATAACTTGTGTGGACCACACAATAATGATTGGGACAGAAAGACTTGGGCTTATTAGCTTTGCATATGCATTTCTACTTTTATCCTTTATATAATAAAGCTATATGGTTTGGAAAATAATTAATGTTATAATTAATGCCACAACATCCTTTATTAAAAAAAAAAAAAAACACAACATTTAAAAAATAAAATAGCTATATATTATATAATCATATAAAAAATATACTTTTGAAAAATAAAATAGCTATATATTATATAATCATATAAAAAATGTGTTCAATTAGAGTTTAAATTTACACATACAAAATTTGAAATTTGCTTTTCAAATGTAATTATCTTAGTTATTATTTGTATTGTGAAAATTATAATATAGATGAAATACAATTAAGAATAAATCAATGTAATTATGTAAATTATCTCTATAAGTTTATTTGAATATGCACATAATTAGAGATTATATTAACCATACAAAATTATAATTATAATTATAATTTTAATTGTAATTTGTATTCTATAAAAATAATAAATACTTGACCAATGGAAGCTCAAAAATATTATTATATTAAATAATTTAAAATATTTTAGTTTTTCTATTTTTTATTTATATTTATAATAGCATAATTTTTTTCCGTGCATCGCGCGGGTGAATTACTAGTTAGTTATAATAATACTATGAAGCCTCTTTTATGGGCAATGTATATCGTGCAACAGGGCGCACATTGCATTGTGCGCCCTGGTGCAAGACGACGTTGTTTTATACTCTCTTTTTTTTTTTTTTTGGAAATTTTTGTATTGGCTGCTAACTTCTAAAAAAATCTCATGTTTCGAAAATGTACATAATTGTATAACAAAGTACACATACTCTTTATTTATAATATAATACACATAATCTAACATAATACATAATACACATAAATTCTTAACATAATACACATAAACTTTTAACATAATACATATAAACTTTTAACTCTTAAAAAAATTCATTGTTTCGGAGGTACATAATTGTATAAAAGAATGTACATTATTGTATAAAAAAATGTACATTATTGTATAACATAATGTTCATAATTATATAATAGAATACACATACACTCTGTTGTGTCAATTTCACATACAACTTAACAAAACGACATTGTTTTGAGAGAGAAAAATCAGAAAATGCACATTGCTATGTGCGTCGTGGTGCATGAAATAACGATTGTCTTTTATGTGCTTGAGTTCATTCTTTTATTTATTTATTTATTTTATTAGTTTAATTTGGGCCTTGAGATCTTAGTTTGTTTTTTTTTTTTTTTTTTTTTTTTCACTTTTGGGTCTTTATAAAAACATCTATTTTGATAGATTAATAAAGTTCTTTTTGTTTAAAAAAAAAATGGTTGCGAAACCAAATTATGATTTCTGAAACCAAAACTGGTTTATGAAATCATAATATGGTTTCGGAATCAATTTTGATTAACATTTTTGCTATTCCAAAATTAGTTTGAAGTGATGAAAGAGAAGAAGGAGAAGAGAGGTGGGAAAAATAAAGAATCATGTATTCTTATTAAAAATTTAGAAAGATATTATGTTGGAAAAAATAGCTTAAAATGACATGTTAAGTGGCTATTTTGTGGTACAATTATCAGTGGGGTCCACTTCGGATTTGGGTCGGGTTAAAGTGGATTCGGATTCTTCGTAGTGAGACGAAGAGATCGATATATTGTACGCTCAAAATGGATAATGGGTGAATGAGATATTGATTCTCAAAGTAGACCCATTTGAGTTGGAAAATGAAGGGAAAAAGTGAGCTTTTTGTCCCACATTGCTTTGGAATGAAGATTTCCCCCCCCCCCCCCCCCCCCTTATATACAAGAGCTCTTTTGAAGCTTGTAGAATTGTATAGCATAGAGGCTCTCTCGCGCGGGGGGAGGGGGGGGGGTGCAAATCAAATTCCAACTTTCAGAGATTGAAAAAGGCTTGATTCAAGCCCGAGCTCGCGTGCGCCGGCACCTGGGGGCCACGAATGTCGTCCGGAACCCGAAAGTTCTGACTGAATTCAATTCCCAGGTAGTGGTGGCTAGCTGTTGGAAGGCAGCTTTAATGTCATTTTTAATTGCTGTTGGAGAGGGTAGAGGCAGTAGAGTTTTATACACAACTTTACACGGCACGAAAGTATACTTTTCCAGCTTCAAAAATCTCTAGCATCTACGGGAGGTGGCAAATAAAGTTTTAAGGAAAGAGTGCACAACCCAACACCAAACACTAGCCAATTTTCTTCAAATTTTCTTCCCTTCTTTCCAGGAAATAATAGTCAATTTTTTTTTTTGATTATTATTTGTTTTCCTACCAACGGTTCCAACATATTATTCATCAAATTGAATACATAAACATAGAAAATATTTATAAAAAAAAAAACAAATTGAATATTTTTTATTGATTTTATATATTTTTTTATTTCATTTTTTAATACATAAACATAGAAAATATTTTAAAAATAACTTCTAAGAGTCATATTTTGAGTTACCTAACATATTATAAACATGAAAATTCAAATGTCACCTCATCTCTTGTATGCTCGCGCAACAAGAGGGACCACCACTTAATGAGATACATTACACATAATATGTAAAAATAAAAAAATAAAAAAAATTAACTGTAATATTGTATTAGGTTTTCATATCAAATCAGTGCAAGTAAAAATAAGTATAGAATATAAAATATTATTACATTATTTATGTTGATTAATGGTTTAAATATATATTTTTTAGTTTTAAATTACAAGTCTTTGTCGAACAATATTGTTCAAGTAAAAATAGTATACTTTTATTAGAAGACTAATTCTTTCGCTCAAGTCTTACACATCAAGTCATCAAATATGTATTACATTTATATTTTGTTTTTAAGAAGAAAATAACTCGAGTTAATAATAAGTTTAATTTTATTTGAAACGCAGTTTTCAGTTGTAGTACTCCGTATCAAATATGTATTAGAATAACAATATATTATTGAATAAAGTTTTTAGTTTAATTTCAAAATTATCTACTCATAATCCCCATTCTATTTGGAAGACTTGTACAATTGCCTATATCCTAATCCCAATTATATTCTATTAGGAAACTTGAACTTGTATAGTTGTCTATATCTTAATCGCAATTCTATTAAGAAACTAAACTTGTATAATTGCCTATATCCTAATCTCTATTGGGAAACTAAACTTGTGTAATTGCCTATATCCTAATCTATATTAGGTAACTAAACTTGTATAATTGCCTATATCCTAATCCCAATTATATCCTATTAGGAAACTTAAATTTGTATAGTTGCCTATATCCTAATCGCAATTCTATTAGGAAACTAAACTTGTATAATTGCCTATATCCTAATCTCTATTAGGAAACTAAACTTGTATAGTTGCCTATAAAAGGCACAATATCATAAAGGGCTGGTTCTCAATTCCCATCAATCTTAGCTTTGGAGCTCTCGGTGAAAACATCTCTGATCTCAACTAGTTATGGCGGATTTGTGGTCTAACGTGGGACCCGCATTAGCCACATTCATGTTTTTCCGCAGTGTATACGAGAGCTATTTCCCTCAAGACTTGATCAGCAGGTATATTAACAAAGTGTTAAGCTACTTCTACCCATATGTCACCATTACTTTTCCAGAATTCAAAACAGAAGGCTTCTATGAGCGCAGCAAAGTGTTCGGGTACATCGAACGGTACCTTAGCTCCAGCGCCTCCACACAAGCAACTTCTCTGTTAGCCAATGGAGTCCGAGGTAGCACCGAATACGTTGTTCTTAGTATGGGACATTACGAGAAAGTGATCGACATATACAAAGGAATCAGGCTGGAGTGGAGCTCGTACAAGCACTCACCGAGCAAACAGACGATCAATTGGGGCGGAAAGGAAGTGGACAAGAGGCTTTTCGACCTTAAATTTCACAAGAAACATCTCGAGGTTGTTACCAAGCATTACTTGAAACATGTGGTGGAAGAGGGGAAGAGGATTTATAAGAAGGAAAAGAAGCGCCGGCTGTATACAAACAACAAGAGCGATGATTGGGACGACGACAAGTGGAGCTACGTCACCTGGAAGCATCCTTCCACTTTTGAAACAATGGCGTTGGCGCCAAAGATGAAGCAGGAAATCATTGATGATTTGATCGCGTTTAGAAACGCTAAGGATTATTATATGAAGATAGGGAAGGCTTGGAAGCATGGTTATCTTCTTTATGGCCCGCCTGGAACTGGAAAATCGAGCACAATTGCTGCCATGGCGAATCTCATGGAATACGATGTGTATGATATTGAGCTTACCACGGTGAAGGATAACAGTGACCTGAGGAAGCTACTGATAGATACTACCAGCAAGTCTATCATAGTGATTGAAGACATTGATTGCTCTCTTGATCTCACTGGTAAGAGGAGTGCGGAAGAAGAGGAGAGCAGCAGTGATGACGAGGATGATATTCCAATCCCGAACAAGGCGAAGAAGAAGGAGAAGAAGAGCGAAGAGGTGACATTATCAGGGCTCTTGAACTTCGTCGATGGTCTCTGGTCTGCAATTGGGGAAGAAAGGATCATGATTTTCACAACAAACCACGTGGAAAAGCTCGACCTAGCTTTGATTCGGAGAGGGAGGATGGATATGCACATCGAGCTATCATATTGCTGCTTTGAAGCTTTCAAGGTGCTAGCCAGAAACTATCTACAGCTTGAATCTCACCTTCTGTTCTCCAAGATTGAGTGTTTGCTTGCAGAAACCAAAATCACCCCGGCCCACGTGGGAGAGAATTTGATGCCCAAGTCTGCCAAAGATAATGCTGAAGTTTGCTTGCAGAGATTGATCGAAACCCTAGAAACTGCAAAGGAAGAAGCCAGGTTGAAGACTATGGAACAACACAAACCCAGGGCTGCCGAGAGAAACGAGAAAACAATGATCAAAAAGATCAGAAGACAACTAAACAGGCTATTCAAGAAGTAGAAAATGGGGATTACATGAGATCTACCACTTTTTGCATCTCACGTATGTCTGCTTTCTTCACTGAAACACAAGTAGAGCTAGTAGTAATTTACTTGTTTCATAATGTTTTTTTTTTTTTTTTTTTGAAGAATGTTTCATAATGTTTTAGAACAATTTAGTATCATAATCATAGTTTTCTTTCGGTAAGAAACACGCAGTCTCAGGCTATACATTTTCCATGGCAAATTTTTATTCCAGTCAAGCTATCATAAATGGTATGTAAAAAAGTTGGAAGTGGAAAAGACCAGGGAAAATACTCTTTTACTATAAGCTAAGAATACTGGTTACATCAAAACAAAATCCAATCCTAACCAGGCACAAAGAGCACAACATCTAAAACCAAACGCTTACTACAGCAGTAGCAGCCAGCATATTCGTCCTATCAAGGGTTCAACCTGCCAAATATAAACAAGGTACATCAGTTTTAAAGGTAATTTGCTTTCACAGAACAAAGTCGTTAAGTGTAATCCAGCAGACGTGTTTATGGAATGTAGTCATGTACAACACCAGAAAGTAAGGAATAAGATTCAAATTGGCCACCGAACGTAACTTGAAAATGCAATTAGGTCACTGAACGGAAAAAAAAAAATGCAATTAAGCCACTGAACACTCTAAAAAAGTGCAATTAGGCCACTGAACCTCCAAATGTATGCAATTTCAACGGATAGCAGGTTACCGTCAATTTTAGCAGGTTACCTGCTTACGTGGCAATTGAGTTGGCATTTTTAATAATTTTTAATAAATTTTAATAATAATTTTTTTCATTAAAAATTATTTAAAAATTATTTTCTTTACTATTTTAATAAAATAATTTTTTTTATTTAATTTTTTTCATTTTAAAAAAATTATTATTAAAATTTATTAAAAAATATTAAAAATGCCAACTCAGCTGCCACATAAGCAGGTAACCTGCTAAAATTGATGGTAACCTGCTATCAGGTGAAATTGCATACATTTGAAGTGTTCAGTGGCCTAATTGCACTTTTTTTTCGTTCTGTGGCCTAATTGCATTTTCGGGTTACGTTCAGTGGCCAATTTGAACCTTATTCCCAGAAAGTAATTACAAATATGATTGAGATGATAAGACGATAGAGTTCCTTGTGCAAAATAGGATATAGTTGGAATAAGGGTCAAATAGGCCATCGAACTGCACACAATAATGCAATTAGGTCACTGAACCTAAAAAAAAAAACAACAATTAGATCCCTAAACTAACAATTTTCTTGCAATTGATTTAATTTGTAAGTTTTCTAGGTTGCTAGCAGGTCACCTTTAATTTAAAATATTTTTTTAAATTTAAAATATTTTTTAAAATATTTATTATTTAAAATAATTATTTAAATTTAAAAAAAAAAAAAAAAAAAAAAAAAAAAAAAAAAAGATCGTCTCCGGCAGTGGAGACGAAGAGACGAAGACGTCTCCGGCCATGGAGACGAATCCATGGCCGGAGACGATCTGTTTTTTTTTTTTTTTAAGTTTTAAATAATCAATATTTAAAAAATATTTTAAATTGAAGGTGACCTATTAGCAACTTAGGAAACTTACAAATTAGACTAATTGCAAGAAAATGATTAGTTTAGGGATCTAATTGTTGTTTTTTTAGGTTCAGTGGCCTAATTGAATTATTATGTGCAGTTAGATGACCTATTTGACCCTTATTCCGATATAGTTTAAATTTGTCACAGAAAAGAAGATATCAATGCATGGCTAAGAAGCATCTTAAAGGCAGTCACGACTTTGGTTGGTACGTTTTCTAAAACAGAAAAGGTGAGAAACTGGACTAGAGGAGACGATAGTTGTCACTGTATTCGTCGTCATAAAACTTTTGAGTTAATTATGAACACTACCAAATAAATCAGGGGTTGAGTAAAACCAATTACTCTACCTTATCTACCCAAGTTGTTATTCAGTAAGAAGATGAAACCCCCAACATAGAACCCAAAAAAGCAGAAATAGATAGCACAAGAGGGTGTATTTCTTAAATAGATTTATAGTTCTTATTAAAATCAGGTAAGAAAGTTTTAGAAAAGGGCCCAAAGGGCAATAGACGCTTGAGAGACAATATGGACCCCAGACCATTCACGGCAAATATTGCTTAGACTAATAGAAGGCGAATTAGCTTTTAAAGAAAAGTAAATCTGTAAATGTAAACTTACACAGAAAATGCTCCGTTTATAGCTTAACAAGTCAGTTGATCACTTATCATGTAAGCAACAATAACAACCAGGTGTAGAACATACATGCAGACAAGTTTATTCAGCATGAAGTAGAAATGTACACAAAAGAAAAACATTTAGATGGAGAAATACCTTGGTGAAGCTGGGGCATTGGAGGCATTGGAGAAGCCAGCAAATACATTTGAGTAGGACCTAGTTAGGTATGCAAAGTTGGAAATTGGAGGTAGAGGGTCAACTCGTTCACCTTTCTTCAAAAGCTCTTGCAGGTTGAGCCTCTGCAAGGTCAATACAGCTCTAGACTCCTTCCACACAAAAGCTAACAATGTATCTTGGATCACATAGAGTGAACCGGGTTTTGAACCAGGATACCTGAAACCATACCCATTGGCAATACCTTCCCCTACAAAAGCATCTTTTACATCAACGGGGTTGGAATCTTCATCACTATCCCAAGGGAATTCATCAGGTGATGGCTCATCAACATTCACCATAAACATGGCAGAGCCATTTGGATGTAGAACATAATGGGTACCTTCTAATATCTTGGTGGCAATAAGTTTTTTCCCCTGTGACTTTTCATAAGAAAGCAAAAGAAGAAATAGAGCCTTTCCTGGCTTGTCCTCAGAGGGCTTTCCAGGAGGCCAACCAAAAGTACCTCCCCATAAACCAGCGTATTCCTGACCAGCTGCAACAGCCTGCACAGGTAATTTGTAGAGAGCAAATTTACTGTCATGCATATTTGGCCATGCCCTATAAGAAGATAACTTCATAGTGGAAGCATGTAAAGTCAGAGCAATGCTATCACCGGGTCTAAGAAACTCATGAAGTTGTGCATGCTTGTTGCCGCTACTAGTGTAATTCTTCTTAAGAAAACTATGGCCGCGATTCATAGAATTTGACTTCCCAAGTATCTGTTTTAGACTTTCTCTAACATATCCAGCAAAGGTCTTCCTCTTGGTGCACTGAGTCTGAATTTCAACTCCAGCTCGAAAAGTATGGCATCCACTTCCTTGATCAAGATTCTGCCTGATCTCACTCAAACCAAAATGAGAAGAAACCGGAGGGAACTCTTGGCCAGTCTTCCAATCAGTGAGAGACCCATCAATCTTATGCATTTGCATAAGCAGCACTCTTCTTTCGTACAAAACTGCTATATCCTGCCTCAATTGAGCTTCATCACTTGTCATACGAGGAAAGAGCAGCAGGTTAGCTGCATCTGGAACTTTTAGACGAACCTGGCTAGTGACTGTGTCAAGTAACTTTCTCCTATCACCAAATGCCAACCGGTTAAAAGGCACAGAAGGTGCAATCTGCCCATTCATTCTTTGTGACTTTGAAATGCTAGTATCTGACCTACATAGCTTTCGTGATGACTCCTTATCTAAAAGATGGGCATGGCTCTTACTATGAAACAACTTGCCTCCATTTCCCTGCTGCCGAGGCTCAACCTCTAACAGAAGAACATTGCAAGTCCTGTCAACAGCCTTTAGAGAACCAGGATAAACATAGTCATTTCCTCTCTCCCGCCCATGAAGAAAGAACGTAGATGAACCCTCAAAATCACAAACAGTTTCAAAAACAGGTGCCCACAGAATTGGACCATCTTCAAGGCCTAAAGGACCAAGCTCTTGGGGAATAATCCTGCAACCAATGACTGAAAGAAAGCCAGGCATAACATAAACCACATTTCCAAGTTCAGGATTTTGATGAACCCAAATGCCAAGCAATGGCTTTACGTCCACAAGGAAACGGCATAGAGCCTTGAAAGAACAAATCCCCTTTCTCCATTCAATTAGCTCCCAATAGGAAATCAACCCTAGTGCCTCACATTGAGCTAGCCATATCTTTTCGGAGGCAACTAGCTCGTGCAAGCTCTTGCAGCAAAGGGCTAGATTGCACACATCCCTTGGAGAGAGAGATCTAGTCACTACTGCAAACAAATCATCAGGCAGTGCCAGAATGAAGCTTGACCCACAACCATCAGGCATCATACCTGAACTCATTATATACTCCGTATCTCACCAAAAATTCAAGACTTAGCTACCAATACTATCAACAGATATGCAAAAATCACGAAAATCCCATAGTTCAGGAAAAATGGCTAAGCAAAAGCAAAATCAACCAGCTCAGTAAGTATGAATACCGAGATGGGTCACCGTGCACACCTCTTAAAAAACCTATCTTGAGATTCAATCAGCGGAGGCAAATTGAACAAATTCTCACCTGGAAATGGAATGGACTTTCTTGAAATCCTTCAAAAATCGCATCTTTACCATCTGAGGGGCTCCAAACCACGAATCTACGGCAACAAATAAATGGTAAGCAGAAAGGTGAGCTCTATGTACTGATTCTGCAGTTGAAGAGTAGAATTAGAATATGGAGATTGATGTGAAGCTAGGTTTGGGTGGAATCACAGCTCACAAGAAGTCATCAGTCCTCAACAACCGAACGAAAATAATCAACGGAATCGAGCTGGGCTCGCAAATGATTGTACGTAGAGACTCCAGCGTGCGTTCCCCCAAGGGTGGGGTTGAATCCTCGAAAGGGACAAGTTGGGCTTTGGAATTTTCACTGTGATGATGGCATTGGCCCCCACTGAGCCTGCCAATATTGAAATTGGAATCGAGCTTATGGGAAGCCATTACGGAACCATAGCTCTCTTATCATCCCAACTCAAAAAAATATATATAAAAAATAAAAAATAAAATCAAAAGTAGATGCGAAATTCGAAGTCGCTCATGCGGTCCATGTGATTGATTAGCGTAGATGGATGGTGTCTCCACGACTC